CTCAGTAAAAACATTTAGAGAGAGAAGCAGACTTATTTATATATTGAATAATAGAGATTTGGCTATATTTCAAGTGTCCATTAGTGCCCTTGCAATCCATATTCTTGAGACAGCTGAAAACGCTTTGTTGACCTTAAGATAGCGTAAGAGATTTGAAAACGCCATGTAGCCCATTTAGTAGGCCCAATTGAAGACGCCTTGTAAGCTTAATAGAGCGTACCAGACCTGTGTAGTCCATATTCTAAGCTCAGTTAAAAACTCCCTGCAAACAAGAGCTTACCAGATCTCTAAACTTAATGTAGTCCATATTCTAAGCCAAATTGAAAACTCCCTGTAAACTTAAGAGGCCGTGCCAGACCTGTAAACGCCATGTTGGCCATACAGTAAGCCCAATTGAAGAATCCCTGTAGAGCACAGAACAAATTAGGAGCAATATCAAAGGACATGGTGGCAGTGAGCCAAGGTCTCCCTCGGGTCCAGTTCACTCTCACACAGTTCGTTCATAAACAGTCCGCCGCTCAGCATTCGGCGGAGTGCGCTGCCGATTTATGACTGCGCCTATTTGTACCTAATTATACAGGAGCTCGCTCTCTCTGGTCGATGGTTGCGCCGATAGCAGCTGATGTATGGGGCGGCACATCTGTTTGGCCGGGACAGATAAAATTGTCAGCCTGTTTGTCGAATTCCAAGAGAGACCCTGACCTATCTAGCTCATTGCCCCAGCTGCCCATAAAAATAAATTAGCTTCCAATGGAAAGAGAACAAATGATAGTTTCCCGGCAACAAGACTTGACTTTAGTTAACCATTCGATGTGTTTTTAAATAAGAAATGTGCACATTTGACTCAGTTAGCTGTCGCTCCTTTCAACAAACTAATTCCTTTCTTTCAACGATTGCGTAATAAATATTCTAAGATTCTCTCTGCACACACAATGATTATAAAACATTCATTTCGGGTTAGAATTTCTCGTTATTTTTTAAATAAATAAATATAACCTATCATCAATCGTACTATAAAGAATTAAAAAAAAAACTTTTATTAGATGTAAAAAAATATCAACTTTTCTCTTATTAAAAATGGCTTTTATCCCCCTTTTTTCTTGACAAATACAATTCCTCCTAGTTCTCAAAATAAACAAAGCTTACAAGAATGAGGGTTCTTTAAATCCTATATTCAATAAACATAGCAGCAGTTATGAAGTCAATTTAAGAGCATATTTAGCTCGATATCCTGTAATGACTGTTGGTGATCTACTCAGTATAGTGTGTGTGTGTGTGAAAGTAGACTCAAGGATAGATTCCGCTAAATCAATCTGCGCTACAACAGGCGTGCCCAGGTCACGACTCCCCACTTAAAAAATCACCACCGCACGAAACCTTTCTTGCCTTACAAGTATTTTAATTTCAACCACCTGGGTAACTTTCTTCCAGTAACTTTCGTGTCTTCCCGGCTTTTGAAAAACACTTTCGTCATTCTATTAACGAAGTTTGTCGCAGCTCCATAATCGATTGACACGTGGCGTAAATGGATCGACCCACGCGCAAACACGCTCGTTCTCTGCAAGAGACCTTTACATTGAATTCATCTACAGACGAATATATACACCTTTTTTATTCATCATTTGTCTCTCATTTGCATATTGGCCATGATATAAGGTTGTCCCAAAAGTTCGTAAACATAGTATGATTTATATTTTGAAAGTGTTTACGAAATTTTGGGGGAACAGCCTTAGTAATATTGGTAATCTTGGTAAAATTATAACAGAATTCTCATAGAAGGATGATTTAATCTCTGATGTTCAATATCAAGGATGGCCAATCATCAGGTGGGCCAAGTTTCAGAATTACAAGGTTGTTCCAAAAGGGACAACCTTATAATTATGATGAGTAGGTATTTGAGAATGCGTAAGCTATGAGTACACCACATGTCTACATGTCAAAAAAATCAGTTCGACCCTTTCATTTAAAAGACACCATGTTTCGCCACATACACTCATTGAGTTGAGATTGGGCAAAAATCAAGGGGCCCATCAAAATATTTTTTCTTTGAAACTATTTCAATGTAGGTTTCGAAAGAGGTCTCCTTTTTTGGACTAGCGTCACTCACATCTTCAAAAATAATACAATATTTTTTTGATATTATGTTTTTACAAAGATTTGATCTTTTGAACATGGATAATTCGCCTAACCTCTAAGACAATCTCTAGATTAAGGCGATCTCTGGTGGAAAGTTTTACTGCATTTCTATTCCTCTTCATTATTAACAATCATCTAGAGCTATCAGAACTAGGTGGAAATTGCATCAACACTAATTATCTAACAGAACTCAAGTCGTTGACAATAAACACATCCCCCACATCCTACTCAAATTTAGCATGCCGTTAAAGAAATAGGATATTCCTACAGTTATCTCCTGCTAACAACCATTCAATGTCAGAATTGAATAAGTATCGATGCTGAATTTCTAAAAAAAAAGAACTTATTTCTATATAAGTAGAAATAATATGTACATATTTGGATAGTTGCATATTTCCTGGACACCAAACATTTCCAGAATTTTCTCAACAAATTAGCAATCATTTACAATAATCTTAAACTTGAAATAGACGCATCCGTTTTAGGCAGAGTTTAATATTAGAAGATAAGTTTTTTTTAAAAGATATTTTGCATATTACTAGAACTAATATAAAAACTTCATGTGTACGTGGTCTGGATATACGCCTTTTTTGATTCATAGATTTATATTAAAATTTATTTTCACACACACACATTAAAAAAAGCAAATTTTCTCAAAAAGGCGCTTTTTTTCTCTCCTCTCAAAACAGGTCTAAAAAGATTTTGTATACTACTTGAGAACTACTATATATAGATTTAAATATTCAAATTTATTTTGAACATTAAAAAAAGGTAAATTTTATCAAAAAGACGCTTTTATTTTAGATCCAGGTCTAAAAAAAAAAAACAAATCTATTTTGTTGAAGTACTAAGGAGAAACTGCGTGATAATTCTCCAGAACTCACCATGTGAAAAATTAAAAGAATTTATAGAGGAGTTATTTAGAACTATAAATGATGGAGACTTCAGCTTGGCTAAAGCGTTGATTTAATGATAGCTTTTCTACGAGTGCCATTTCAATTCCTAAGTAAATGATGAAAGTGATAAAATCCAGGACAAGTTTTTGCCATCGCAATTAAAAACTTATATAAATGGAAATTGACTGGAATTAAACGCCTATCTGATTATCCAAGACCATTACGGTGACTTCTCCGCGCGTTTTATGCCCGAGTCATTAATTCATTCTCTTTGGGCTGTTAATTGGCTTAATCTGGATGGGTCTTGGTTTCTTTTAGAACTTTCCACACAGACATTTCCAATTATGACGTTCTTTGGTAGATCAAATAAATATTAATACAGTTGAACCTCTCATGGAAGAACGCTCAAGAAAAAGCATTACTCTAGATCAAATTTTCTAGAGGTTTTATGATCGAGTCATTAATTCATTCTCTTTGGGCTGTTAATTGGCCTAATCTGGATGGGACTTGGTTTCTTTTAGGACTTTCCACACAGACTTTTCTATTTATGGCGTTCTCTTAATACAGTTGAACCTCTCATGAGAGGACGCCCAAGAAAAATTATCACTCTACATGGTATTTTCTGGAGGCTTTATTATCGAGTCATTAATTCATTCTCTTTGGGCTGTTAATTGGCCTAATCTGGATGTGTCTTGGTTTCTTTTAGGACTTTCTGGTCCACACAAAATTTTCCAATTATGGCGGTCTCATATTACAGTTTAACCTCTCATGAGAGAACGTCCAAGAAAAAATAATCACTCTACCTGGTATTTTCTGGAGGCTTTATTATCGAGTCATTAATTCATTCTCTTTGGGCTGTTAATTGGCTTAATCTGGATGGGAATTGGTTTCTTTTAGGTCCTTTTGGTCCACACAGACTTTTTGAATTATGGCGTTCTCTGGTAGGTCAAAGAAATATCAATAATGTTGCTTTGTTGTTGTTATTAACGAGGTTAGAAAGTTATCAAGTTCGGAAAGAACGGATCTTCCAGACAGAGGACTAACATGGAAGACTTGAGGGCGATAGAGGGGGCCAGGTCGGCCTCCCCAACCTAAGCTGACATCTGGAACTGCGGGATAAGCCGCTTAGGTGCTGTGCCGCCGCCGGCTGTTTATTTCAAAACACGGGGGGAAGGGGGGGGGGGGATAACGAACAGGGGGACGGACGGAAACGAGACACCCCATACACCGGAAACTGTTACACACACGACAGCCATACCATAATGAGCTGAATGACGTCACCACAAGCTTGGAAACCTCATTTATACCACCATACAACCAACCCTATTAGATCAGATTCTGAAACATTTTATATTGACAAGTCAATGGTAGAAACAAAAGACGCTCAAACAATAAATGTACATACAATATTAATTATTTAAAATACACCTATCCCCCGATTTACACGGTACTTGTTTTACACGTTTTCGCTTTTACACGGTTTTCCAAATACGTTTTTTGTTTTTATCACACTACCGTATACTAAATGCTACTGTGATTGAACACATGCGCTGTGTACACATCTCACGAGGAATCCCGAGCTTATGTGCTGACGGGCTGCACACGCACACTGTGTCTGTATTTTTCTAATTTTTTTAAATTTTTAATTTTCGATTTACACGTTTTTCTCAGGAACGTATCTACCGTGTAAATCGGGGGATAGGTGTAATTTTATTGACATCTTGTCAATACATGCAACCGTCTGAACCATTTTAAAAAGATAATTATATATATATATATATATATATATAATACAATATAATGCGGCTTATGATTGTAAAACGACGTTTGACAATTTTTACCGCAAATGTTTCTTTTAAACGAAAAATCGTAATTTATTTTAAGGAGAAATAACGACTATTTCTATCCTTAGAGATGAAGTATGAAAGGATGAATTGTGAAGAGCAAAGATGAACGGAAAAACAAAAGTGCCCAGGGATGATAATCGAACCCACAGTGTTCCGCTTACCGGGCAGATGCCATGTCCACTAGGCTACCCTGGACATATTTTTCCGTTTGTAAATAACATATATATGCATGATACACTATGTACAATGAATATGGCGCCTCTGCCACTGCTGCAGAGTTTAATGGAGAATTGCCAGTGGGTCTCCAGCGAAACCACGTATTTCACAATCTACGAATGTTGCATACATGTGCATACAATAGAAAAGAATACTTGGAATTTTAAGAGAAAGAGGAACCAATAGAAAATCTTAACCATTGAAAATTTGGAATAAAATGGCTAATATATTGTATGTCAATAAATATATACACCTAGTTGAGATATATGAATTATATTTAAGGATATTAAATATATAGGAAAATATCGGAAATATATTTATTTACGGGCTGATAAACATAATGGATAATTTTAGAGCCCCAATGGACGCATAAAGCGGAATATATACAAAACACTATATACATTGCACTGTTGGAGGGGTCTGGGGATGGGTGGCCAGGGGAGAAAAAAAAAAGGAAAATATCTATACTTCTCTGTATTGGTATATTTATAAGGAATAAAACACGTAGTTTCTAAAAAGAAACTCCATCTCAAATACTAGACAAGTTCAAGTTTAGTATTGCTGCCTTTATTGTGATTAATTCCAGGGGTCACAACAACCAACCCCACATATAATAAAAAACTTTCAATTTCTTCTTTTTTTCAAAAGAAAGAGAATAAATTTCTTTTTGACTTGTTTTGTTCATGGTTCAATTTAATTCTTCTTAAGAGTTTTCTACTTTTTTCCAAAAAGAATTGTAATCACAGAGGTTTTTTTAAACATCCATCCATACAATTCTCTTTTTGTTTTTATATCTACAATCGAGACTGAGTATGCTTTGAGATACAAACTTTTCGCACACCTTTCTCATAAACTTGTTTGGATGTCTTTCTTTAAGAATAATCAAAAGGCAAAATAAGACTCACAGTGAGACCTCTCATAAACGACCCCTATGATAAGTGACTACCTTCATGAGCAACCACATTTGTATACCACATTTGAGTGACCACATAAAGTCGACCTGATATACTTTAACCTCCGATGAGAGACCACCTCCAGGAAAGACCAGACGGATCTATACTTCTATATTACCTAACTTAGACTTAGATCTGTACAAGTGAGTATTTGCCAAACGAAAATATTGGTTTAAAAAATATGTATTATCATTAGTATTGGTTTACGTAGCAGTGTAGTATTATGGTGTGTTGGGAGAATCTCCAGTGACACCACGCATTTAGCGATCTACGATGTATGATATTGCCACGAAAATTAGGAAAGACAAACTTCAGGATGACACAGCAATTTATTCAAGCAAGGACAAACTATGATTGATAGAATACAAGATAAGCAATGAGGAAAATTTACAAAGTATCAAAATATAAACATAAAAATATATACTTTGTTAATAAAATAATAAATGCTTTGCTACAATAGGTTTAGAAGGGAAGAGAAAAGAAAGCCGTTGTGTGTAGGGAATGTATATTTAAAGGACAAAATGTTAGCGCGACAAAATTCAGCACAATTCTATAAAAAGTAATAAATAGTTTATGACGATACTTCAAGTTGATATTATGGTCATAAACTTCTTTACAGATCGAAGAATTCACAATCGCAGAAGTTTCACTTCATAGAAAACATTCAGGATTTCGAACTCAATGGTTACAATTTTAACTATAGACTCATGTTTTGAAAGTTTTTTTTTAAGAGATACAACTGTTTTGTGAAAATGGTTACCTAATGATTAATGATTTCCTCAATTTTTGAAATGAGTAAATAAATTAGAATGATATTGTGTTGTATATATATTAATTAATTGTTCCACAGAGTGTGTGTAAGCTCACAGGTAAATAGGCGCTAACCGAAACAAAAAAAAGTTCCTTTGTTCAATATTAGTTTCCCTTTTATATTTTGTTCTCTCTCTTGTAAATCAATAAATATAATGTTTAAATAATAATTATTGGAATCAGTTTCATTAAATATTCTAAGCAAAGTCAACATATTGAGATAAAATTCATAATAAAAAGTAAAAAAGTTGAATAGAAGGAATGTCTAGCATTCTTGTTTTAACCAAAAACCTAAGAATTAATGTGTTTAGTATTAAATTACTCTATGAGGCAGAGGTAATATACCATGGAGAGCATATTACTTTTAAATTTTAAGAATAAAGAACTAGACATATTTCAACTGTATTTCACATGCAAGTACCAACAAAATATCGGAGAAAAAAATAAAATGAAAAAAATATATATATATTTTTTAACAACTATAACTCAAAAGAGACACTTAGACTCAGAATCTTTTATATTTTTGACATTTCGACCAAAAAAAAAGTTGTCTTTATTAGGATAAAATTAAAAATGTAACGCATTTGGTAAGATTTTAAAATAAAGTTTCATATATGCAAGTTGTCTAACGACATTTCAAGCGTACCACAATTTTTGTCGAAAATAAATAAAAAATTATCTGATAAAGCATCTCTTTTTAATTTATATAACTAAGAATTCTCCGGAAAGCCACACACAGGCAACTTCTATCTTCAAGATAAAAATATATCTTGGGTTGGCCAAATATCGCGGAGCAAGTTAAATAAACGTTTAGTTTATTTTTACTCCACTAGATGGCGTTCTGCCATCTAGAAAAGCTCATGTGAGCCTGGTCAGGATATGCCTCTTTTGTTTTTAATATGAATAAATATATATAAGATAATCATAATCAAGCTAATATATGGTATGAATGTGCTTCTTTTTCCTAAATGTCATATAGAAACAACATTCACTCTTAAACAGAATATTCTAATGGACGGAATGTATAAAACATGAAACAGACGTATTAGAGCAGTTAATACCATGCATTTCATAAAGCTCATATATACAACCATATTGTTTAATTAAAAAGGCATATATTGGATTAAAAAATAATTTATTTTAACAATATTTCAGTTGGCTGAACGCCAACCTTTATCAACTGAAAGCCAACTGAAATATTGGTAAAATAAATTATTTTTTAATCCAATATATGCCTTTTTAATTAAAGATTTATTTATGGATTGCTCTATTTTCAAAACAACCATATTGATAATGGAAAATATTTAAGAAGATAAATCAAAAGATCTAAAAACTGATGGGGAAAGATGCAGAATATTTTTGTCGAGGTCGAAAACATCCTAAGACATTATCGATTGGATTTATTCCAAATATTTAGATTGAAACTTCCCCAAGATTTAGCAAATATTTATTTCGAGGTTTCCGTAGGTTTTTCTGTGTCAAATATAGCGCGGCTGATGATCCAATTAGATTCTGGAGTCTGGGATGGAGATTATTGTTTGCTGAGAAGCAGGGAGATCGAGATTAATTCTTATGGCAAAAATAGGTTAGGGAGGAGTAGTGGCCCAATGTATTGGTTGGCTAGTTCACGGTAGCATTTTGAGCAGAATTATATTGGAATATGTGCGTTGTTAAGAGAAGGAATAAACTTCCTTCACTTTCAACCTTCTCCTCTCCATCGCAATCTTGGATAGTATAGAAATTATATTAATACATAGCAATAACACGCCATCTATATAATACAAATGAAAACACCAAAACGCGAATGTTTCTTTTCACAAATAAATCAAACTTCTACCTTCCTTACTGCGTCCTCACTGTAAGCATACGCGTGAAATTCCATTTTATTTCTATAATCTAAAATGATCATTCAAGCCAAATTATAAATACCTTAAAATTATTAAAGAAAGAATATCATTCAGTTTGAACGTCAATTATCCTTTTATTTTTTTCTTTAAAGATAGCTAATTTCCTTTTTTTTTTTAAAGGAGGGTGAAGAAATTCGAATTATTTTTATAAGTATTCAACTAGAGCATAAAACTGTCTCAAATGTGATGGAGAATTCTTTCATATCTAAGCCACAATATTAAAGCTGTTTAGATATTTAGCGTGAAAAGAGATAAAAAGGAACCAATCAGCAGTCAATTAAAACGGACATCCTATTTGCATATGAAACGATTAAGACGTGTATTATTTTGAAATTTCATATATTTATGGAATCGTATTGTGTATTAGGTGTAAATCTTTCATAAATAGCAAGGAAATAAAAAGAGTGAGCATTTTTACAAAATCCAATCTACCGGAACTAATCCAACTACCTCCAATGAAAGACCACCTCAAGGAGAAACCATGAATGTTCATAGAAAGGTTAATCCTACTATAAAAAGAAAATGCTGAAAAAATATTCAAGGAATGTTGCCAGTAAACAAACCTTTCATAGAATACGGTCTAAATAAACTCTATTCCTAAACTTTAAAATCGCTTCTTTTTCCTCAAAGTTGTTTCATTCAAGCTGTGATTAGCATACAGCAATCTGGAGACAAGAGGAGCTTGTCGAGGCCGGGACATAATTACTTCGCTACTACAGGGAGGAGCTTACAAAAACAAAGCGACACCATCGCTTTTTAATGGCAGGATCATTATATGACATCCAAACAACCGGCAAAAAGTTGTAGCGCAAAATAATTAGTTGGGGAGAAGTTTTACAAATTAATTTAGGATTTATATTTTTCAAAGAGAGAGTGTAGGTGGAAAGTTTTCTTTAATATTTTCTTTGGTCTATATTGGCGCCTTGATGTATTTAGCAGCAATTTACTTCGGGGCGTTAATACGACCTTTCTTAATGAAAGCAGAGATTTTTTCTAGCTCTCTTTTTGAAATGTCGACTTTGTTTTGATTAGATTCAATCTATAGGTTTGAAAGTTGTTTTTCAATTTCTTTCACAAACATTATTCTTTCGGAAAAATAAAATCCTCTGTGATATATATATATATATACAACAACAACAAACTTTATCAATACCTTTCATTCTTATACAGATTCTCCGAGTAGAAATGTAGGGTACATGCAGGAATAACAGTAATAGTACCAGTAATATGCATTGTTATTTTTAAAGATAATAACATAAAGGGAATATATGAAATTTATATACAGGTAAATTTAATTAAGACAATCAAGC